CTTGAGGTTCTGACAGGTATTGGAGTTCTGGGCCTTTTAGCCACTGCATTCGTTGCGGCAAAAACTATGAACAAGCCGATTGAGTCTGACCATGTTTTACACGACACTTGTGACTCGGCCAAGAATTGACTGATGGGCTCCTTCTACTTCCGGTGATTAGAACAAGTTATGCACAGCAGGAGAAAATTTGTAAATGTGACTAGCTTATACGAGTAGGTGAACAAGGTGAAAGTAAACATGATCTTGTTCTATAATGGTGCTTGTCAGAGGCGTGTATTGCGTTCAGAAACACGATTCATGCCAAGTACTGGACCTCCTCGGCACAGGTATAAAGTAAAAGGTTTTGGAAGTCAACTGGGCAAGGAGCATGCAAGCTAATTCAGGGTGCAGCCATCAATGACTCCTCGATATGATAAATGGGATTTCGGTCACGACATATTTTATACAAAGCAGATTCCGAGTAGGCTACTGAACAATATAGAAGGAACAAACCAGTTTCAGGATTTTATTATGGCATGTCCGAAACGAATGCAATACAAGTACCTGATTTACACCGAAATCAGATACATGAGGGGCGATTCGCACTTTCCTGCTAAAATTCCTTGTCTAAAAGCCTGTACCCAACTATTCAGTCACAACTAATATATAGGGAGTAAGGTATAGTGCTGATCATTGTTTCGGGTTTGCTTATAGTTGTGCTGGCGCTCCTACAGAAACACCCTCCCCCCCAAAAAATAAGCAAATGATATTGCCGCCTAATAGAATCGATGAATATAAGGTACATTTTGGGCTTTATGAGCTGAAAGATGCAAGGTAGTTACTACGTTTCTGAAGAATATTGTACTCTATTGGTTAGCTAGTTATTGGTATTATCTATACTGAGTTTTAATAGTAAGTATTGAAACAGTTTAAGGTACAAGAGTGATGATCAGTATTTATATCATAGAATTTCAATTTGAAGTAGATATTTCTGAGCCGAGGAGTATTATACTTTGACCTTATAATAATTAATGAATACTAATATATTTATGTAATACAAGACACTAAGGAAGAATGGTGATTGAGACTTGTAATAATGGGTGTATGGGTCTTCAGGTTACCAGAGTTTATATATCTCTAATTCTTCTTAGTCAAGAATCTAGTTGTAACTATTACAAAAGCTTTTTCTGTTATGATGTGCTCTGTGTATTATACACAGGATAGCTTTTTTTAAGCTTAATAGGAGATGGATGCTGCTACCATTCACTTCTAGTATAACAGTCAGTATTAGTCTTTGATCTGCTGCAAATGCTAGTGCGTTCTTTTGTATTATTTTGTATTGTGCCATCCCTGTACATGGTATCAGATTTATGTTTTCACTATAATAAATACTATTTATAAAGTGTTTCAGAGGGTACCCGCCCTCGTGAGGATCACGATTCAATTTAAATTCTTATACCTGATCGAGGCCGCTATGTAAGATGCTAGCTATCCAAGTACTTTACTTTTTGAAGCAAGAATATGGCCCTGGACGCTGTTGAATCTCCCAAGCTCGTAGTAAACACGTAATCACGAAGCAACGCATGCTACGACCTAGGAAAGTTATCGTCGTAACTAAACCCAACTAATTATAACAAAAAGCAAAGCATAGCAAAGTCATATAGTAAGTATAGATATAAATGAGTGTTAAAGCCAAACAGCTGCTTACAAGTCTATTCTCTCTATTCTTCGTCCATGTTCTTGCTTCCAACATGCGTGTTTCTTTTATATGCGTGATCTTTCCCGCTAACTTAAATAGGGTGTATGCGGTTTTCAGGCGTAGATGAAAGGACCGAAATACATAAATATTTCGATTGAATGACTCCCTGCGAAGATGAAAGTTTGGCGAGGTAGAACCCATCCGTTCTCCTTGGATAAATTGCTCCTCGCAAGTGAAATGTTGATACAGAACCGGAAAGGTAACGTTCTTTTGGTAGGGGAACGGAGTTAAGACTTATTGGGAAGTGGAAAAGTAGTTGATTTGTCCTCCTCGATCTACGCTTGAGTTGCTTTTGGCACTCTCTCTGTTGATATAAACTGAATACAGCAAGCGACGAAACACCGCTTCCGAAGTGAGACAGTGTCCCGGCATTTGACAACTACGCGATGTCTAATCAGCCCGCTCTACGGTTTCTTCGCCACAGTTCGGTTTGTACAAATGAGAATGGATAACCAAAGCGACCTCTATCCCCTATGGGGCGCTTGATCGATAATTAATGAAGATGTTGGTAAGAGATCACACAATGTCCTGCAAAGTATCCGCCGTAGGGCTTAGTAGCAAGGGCGACTCCCAAAGAGCCTAGGGTGAGACACGGGAAACAGTACAAGGTGCATCCATTTTGTCGGGACTGTCATACCCTTCTAAAGTGCAGCTTACTTACTGGTCGCGGACCTCATAATCCCATGTCGTAATTCCGGAGGGTGGGGTATCCGGTCCAAGTTATCTGCTACCTGGATTTACGAGTCACCCGGAGAACTCTAAAGGTACTTACTCAATGCTGTGCAGACGGGATACTGAAGGGTGCTGCCTATACTAATGAATTACATGCTGTATAGTACACATTAAGAGCGCCTTGCTTGATAGGGTTACATGCAGCAAAGATGCTGCAACTTCCACCCAAGAACGCCTGTCACAATGTCTTGCCTATAATCCCATAGTCAAGCCAATATGGCTTGTTCGTGTTTCACCAGGCAGGCCCCTTGTCTGCTGTGTAACACAGAGCAGTATAGTACCACCTGACACGCCTGCGGGATCGCATACTATACCGGCTCCAGAATTAGCTCAGGCGTCCAGTGAAGTTCTCGCTATCCTAGGTGGTCAGTCGTGAAAGATGCTTCTTGTTTACTTTTACAGACTCAGATTCGGACAGATCATATCCTCTATTGAAGCAACTCGGCCTTGGCCTCGTATAGCCACTGCCTCTTTGAGCTATACGAGGTTGCAGCCGCTCCAAAATGCCGCTGCTAGCTATTTATGACAATATACATCGAATGGTTCACCGAGTGGTCTACAGCTTAGTGGAAGTTAACAGACAGAGATATATAAGTACGAGCATATTCCGGAGGCATCCTCAAGTTCGAAACCACATCCAAAGACCTTTCTCCTCATCTTATTCAATCCTCTTCTTGCCTCAACGCTCTATTGCGATCACAAAAACTAGCCCATTCTCAAAATGAAATTCCTCAGCCCTATCACCGCCCTCACTCTCCTCGCCTCCGTGGCATCCACCTCTCCCACCCCTGCCAACCTCATCCCCCGCGCCTGCACCACCATCGCCCCAACAGCCATCGACGTCCTCGACAGCGCCAACCCTAACACCCCAAGCACCGGACAACAGTTCTCCCTGGCCCGAACAGCCACTACAAACACCAAGATCTCCGCCCTCACCTTCACCGGCATCCCCAACGGCGCCACAGGCTGCATGCTCGCGATCGACATCCCCGCACTCGCGCAGCCTATCGCCACGGGCTCCAGCCAAGCTGACATCTGGACGACCAACCCTTGGGACTCGACTTCCGCTCCTACGTGGAACAATCAGCCTACTAGGCGCGAGATGGTGTCGACTTTCCAGTTCCCAACTTCGCCAACTACATCTCCGTTCCACACGATCCTTGCGTCGAATACGTGCTCCAACACGATGAGCTTCTTGGCCTTGCTGTCGACGTGGCAGACTACTGCTGGGAGTGTGGATTTCCCGAACTCTATTGGAGGAAGTCAGCCGATTGGGTTTAGTTTGGTTTATAATTGTTAGTGGACTGGACATTCTATAATATTACTGTAGGGAGGAATGATAATGATGAAATTCGTATGCCAAGGATAAGATTGCCAGCGCGAAGGGGGAGGAGAAGGAAATAGGACCTTTGAGCAAGTAAACTTGGAAAGGCTCTATTCAACATAGTGTCTTGCGAATGTACCATTTTTCCTGCACATGTATCTAATAATAGCCCTGTTGTTTCACTCCTGCCGTGGTTTGGCCCTAAGAATGTGACATGTGCCAGATGCATCTGCCGAATAAACTTCGCTCCCTCGTTCATCCCACTCACCCACATCCTATGATCAGCGTTCGCCAAGTCCGGCCTTTTCCCCACGCATCCATGAACATGATGCGGTTACATCCGATTGAGCCAAATATTGTGCTGGATCTAGCTTCCCTATTGAGATCTAGACCAGGTGACCCCGGAGAATGAATACACCTTATTTCATCGCATTTAACCTTTCCATGAGCTGCCGGGCGTTACTAATCGACTACGATAATCATCACATCACGAATATCCGGTGTACTTACGGTTAGTGCTGTAATCAGCAAGGGTGCTTTTTAAAATACTCTCTGAAACTGATTCGCTTCAGCTTAGCTCTGTGATGCTGATATTGACGGATGAGGGTATTGTGGTACAGCCTTTCCAGAAACTGCTGTCACCATTCACTCTCTTCTGTCGTTTCCGAAACCCTCCAGTGAAACCAAGCCAGGCTATATCTAGACTAGTTGATAATATGTGTATTCATTTATTATACAATGAACAGTCATTACTAGTTAATTTATAGTACAGTACCGACATTGATTAAGGTAGAGATCATAGTTTAATACGGCCTTTTGTGACTTAAAACTACATTTAACTCTTGTTTCCAGGTCCAGTTACATGTACTTATGAGACGGAATAGTTGTAGCCAGTCATTCGATAGTAGTGAGGGTCGGGTTCCCTGTGATTACAAGTAGTTGCGGATTTCAAGTGATACTAATGAAAGTGATTTGACCAATGAAACCGGATTTTAGCTGACTTATAGCCGCTTCGGCTGGATCTCCAGTTACTCACTGTCCGTTATGATCGCTAGTATACAAGAACACAAATGAAAACAGATGGCAGTCAAACATACAGGGGCGCCCGGGAGAAGAAAATGTATTAAAATAGTACTCGTGAACATGAACAATTTCCTACTAATCAAGCGATGGAATATAATGCATATCTCTCCACGCTATTGGCCACGCACGAACAAAGTGACATCATTACCCCGCACCGCTTGGTCGGAATTTCATCTCCACTCGGATTGCCTACAACTTCAATTATATCCTCGTCACCACATTTGAACTATGTTGCCGCAAACTTTATGTTTCTCGGGAAAATGTCATCTTCCAACAGTCAAGCTCCACGGACTCTTGCTCCAGCTACTGTCATTAGTCCCCTTGCCAATAATTCCGTTCAAGAAACTGTCGTCAAGCCAATCCGAAAAAGAACAAATGCCTGTGAAGCATGCAAGAAGAGGAAAACAAAAGTATAACTTTAAATAAGTCTGTCTTGAAGATATCTAACTGAGAACCACTTTACAGTGTCTAGGAGAGCTTCCGTGTGATAAATGTCTTCAAATAGGCACAGAATGTCATTTCGTGGAAGAATCTGATAGACGAAGAAAGCTTGCACTGCGCCGTATCGAACAGGAACTGAGCTCAGCCTACTTGTTACTCGATCAAATCAGAGTGGCTTATGGAAAAGGTAACGAGATAGAACTTGAAAGACTCATTAACATATCAAAGGATAAGTCGCCTCTGGCTCAGAGGATTGAAGTTCAAACGCAGCAGAAACTGCAGGTACGACACAATCTATTTAAGAATCCACAAGGGCAGGCTGACCAAAATACCAGAATCTCGAAGAACGTATGTCCTTTTATAAACAGTTAGTCGAGGAGCTATCCACTAATTTCCATTCGGAGGTCTCTGGCTACATAGCGAATTCATTGAAGGTGAACCTTTACTCTGAACATCCTGATAAAGCATCTAAACTTAGTACTAGTCTCTTACGTCGAGATCCCATGCTTTGAAAGAGCCTCAAAGATCTCGTTCTATTTCATCCTCTTCGTCGATGGGCTCGCTTGACGATATTGATACTGTTGATATTGATGTGAACAGAGACAGGCAAAGCAGATCAACAGGGTTCGTGGGAAAAGGTTCTGAGATTGCTTGGCTCCAGAGACTTCACGCTGAAGTTGGCGGCTTAGAACGTCCCGGTACCGAGCAGCACGTCAAGCATGATAAAGGAAGTCTCGCTTCTCTCAATTATCACCTCGATAATCTGGTTATAGCAGAACCAAGTTATAGTGATCTCAATGCAATGCCACCAAAGCCTTGGGCTGACCAACTGCTTCACACTTACTTTTCATTCATACACCCAACATTCCCACTTCTTCTCAAACCTTTGTTTTACCAGCAGTACGAGAATGCTTTCCGTAATCGCTTGTCAGCCCCTCAGCAAAGCTGGCTCGTGATCTTCAACCTAGTCAACGCTATTGGAGCTAAACATTTTCAGTTGCGCCAAGAGCACTGGGACGAAGATGTTGATGATCGTATCTTCCTTTCAAGGGCCATTGCACTCAATGCAAAGCATAATACGATTTTGGACTATGTGGACTTACAACAGGTCCAAATAAGGATGCTTCTAGCACTCTATTATCTCGTTGCTGGTCAAATTAATCGGTACGCCTGAATCCGCCTAATGCATGCTATCTTAATCGGGTATATTTTCGTCGGCATAAAGGTCTGACTCGTGACAGATCATGGCAATTAATAGGCTGTACTGCCCGATCTGCTATAGCTTTGGGGCTTAATCTCCGAAACAGCGATGGGAACTTAGATCACGACTCGAAAGTATTGCGTTCCAGCCTGTGGTGGTCAATCGTCTATCTGGAGCAGATACTTTGTACTGCAACAGGCCGTACATCTTGTATTGACTGGAATTGCTGCAGTATCACGGCCCATGTTTTATTGAAAGGAGATCTACTTTCCGAGTCAGAGGCAGCCGGTAACCTTAGTACTGAAGCACAAGAGCAAGAACTTGTCTTCATATTATATGCCAATGACTTGCAGTTGCAGGAAAGGACAAGATATATACAATCTGTTCAGCCAAACAGCTCCTTGTTCTCCTTCTACTTAACTGATCTCGCTGTGATTGGTCATGCGGCAATAAGATCAGTGTATAGTCTACAATCTCTATCCGGCACGCCGAAGCGAAAAACAGCATCCAGATCAGCAAGTACCAGAAGAAGCTGGAAGAATGGCTATCATCATTAAAAGAGTATTGGAGCTTTACCGATAGCCATGGACACTACACGAAGAGCATGGAGTGTCGAGAAAAGATATTACTTGCGTTCAGCTTTTATAGCATCGAGATCGTTCTTAATCGTCCCTGTCTTACCCGCCCCGAATTTCAAAAAAATTCAAAAGTCAGGCGCCCTCGCTCTAGGTTCGATGATGACAAGGCACTTGTCTGTTTACAGTCTGCCCTTAATATGACTTCGGTCTTACCTGATCTCCCAGACTTGGAGTGGTTATGCACAATGGCACCATGGTGGTCCATAGTTCATCACTTGATGCAAGCATTGGTGATATTACTGCTTCAACTGTGTGTAGGACCTGTCGGAGCCTCCGAACACGGAGAAATCACTGGAGGTGGGGGAGCTGTGGGAACAGCAGAAGAACCGAGAAGATACTCCAAGTGTCAAAAAAGTGCCTCCGTTGGTTATTTTCTATTGGCAATCGAAGTTACAGTGCGAGAAATGCCTTCATAACTTGTGATCGTCTTTTACGCAAAATTGCCAGCGTTCGAAGATTGGACCTAAGTAACCTACCAGCTTCGTCGAATCTAGCTGATCGAACTGCCGACAATAATCTCCTGCCCTACTATCGTGGGTCCTTCAATCCTGGCTATACTCGTCTACCGCATCTGAAATCATCGAACAGCTCGTCTCACAATCATGATGACTGCTGGGGAGCAGATTACACACATCCTGAGTCAGCCACTGACGAGCAAGAATCCACTCCCTTAACCTTGGACCCTGCGCTGCTTGAGGTATATGAAACTCTGATTGAAAATCGCTCAACCAGTGATATCGATGTCTTTGAAGGCGACATTGAGTATCCGCATGGAAGTTACTGAGTGACCATAGTCCTTGTTGAATGCCATCTAAGGATTATCCAGTTCTGGAGTTTCGCCGGATATGGATAGGTCACGAGCCGCATAGTTGTCGTTTGTGGACGCGCAGCTTCCAACGAGGAACATGATCGCGTAGCGCACTTCATGGTCTTTAAATCTTTGAGACTGCGTGTTTATAGGGTTGGAACGGAACCAGATCATTACTTGTCATCGCATTCATTAACTCAGGTATTTCAGATTATTGAATTTCCTACTGATGAATACTTGTAAAGAAATAAGCCTTGATCGGCATAAAAGCGAGAGTTGGAGCTCTGGGAGATATTTTAGGTTAATGGACCCTGTTGTGATGTTGTGATACAAAACTGCGATCGTCATACGTACACGGCTTTACTATATCTCCG